TGGTTGTCCTATTTGGCAATTCTGACGAGGAATCAATTATCTTATATTTCTAATTTTTGAACAATTTATTTTTTAATAATCATTTTATATAAATTTTAAACCTTTAGAAAGTCTGTCATTCCTTTATTGTTTATAGAATCAAATGGCATTAAATCTAAGCAGACATCAAAACATAATTTCGCTTTATTAGATTTCATATTTATTTTAAACATTAGAAAGATATATAAAAACATTAAAATAGTTAGGGCTAAAATGAAACAAATTAAATTAGATTATTAACTTTCAAAATCAAGCTTTACATAATTAATTTAATAAATTGTATATTAAGTTTATATTTTAAAAGATATTTAAAAACAAAATAATTAGAGCTGGAATGAAACAAATTATAAATTTGATTTAGTTTAACCTTTCTAATAAAGTTTTAAAAAATTATATATTAAATAATACTTTTAAAAGATATTTAAAAAACACAAAATAATAAGGGCTGGAATGAAACAAATTATAAATTAGATTTAATGTTACTATTCAAATTAAAATAATAATAATTTAATATATAAATATAATTAATATGCTTTCTAAAAATTACAGACGTCGCGCCGCCGCCATAATAAAAATCGGCGGCGAGCCGGCTCGCGCCGCTGATCTCAATCGGCGGCTTTTCCGGCGTGAATAAAAATACCGGCGGCGCACAGGTCTATTTGTGTGTTCGCCCTCATTTTGGCGTCTCATCCCACTCCCTCTTATCGCTATCTGCCATCACTCTCTCTGTAGTATCTTCTACCAAACGGTCCCTTAACTGGTCAGCATGTCTTCGCAGTATGTGATCTGTCCTCTTTATTACATAGAAATATAACCCATCATATCTTAGATTATTCCTTCTATCCCGCTCTTAATGGTTTCGTTTCTTATACATACATGTTGACCAAATTCTCTAACACTGTGTGTGTCATGTTCTCCTTATTTATCATTAGAGGTATTTATTTCATTATTTACCTTTCGTCTAGCCCAATCTCAACTTGTTCTTCTATGATGACCAAACATAATCTTCGCTGTTGTCCTATCCGTCAAACTATGTTCTCCAAGCCTATACGCTGCTACAGTTTGAATCATTGCTACTTGCGGGTCATTAATAAATTCTCGACTGGCATAATACCTTCCTTTCAAGGTCCGAATGATTCGTTAGGCTTGCATTTGTCTTCGGGTGATATGACGTTTAACGAATATGGTAAATATTGTTTTTCCCACAATATAGCTTAAATTCTGTAAATATCCGGTACCCCAAAGGTAACAAACCATTTTTTAATCTCGTTATCATCTCCTTCGCGGATCTGCTCATCAGGTCTACCTCTGCCCATTTTGAATATTAATCTACTCTTACTAACCAATATAGAGAGTCAACCGGTCCTGTAAAATTTTGTTATGTTTGATTCAGTGTCTACATGAGCAGTGGTGGTAGGAACCGTTTGCATCCAATTTTTTTAGGAATAGGGGGTAAGCAGTTAAGGAGGTGCACTAGAGGTAGAATGAATTTCTTGGGAGGTTATCTATTAAATTTTTAGATGAAATAGGGCAAAATGTGTTGCTGTAAAAATTATAATTTTCATTATACTATTATAATATATACGAAATTGTCAACCATTATTTTTATCTTGATGGTATGTAAAGTGGATTTTAAAATTGTAGATTCATTTCAAAATTAATTATATACTGGTTATTTATCTATGATATGCAGTGTCTACATGACAGAATTTTCACTGGATGCAAACCCCCTTCAAAAACTTTTGCCTACCCCCCCTAAAAAAAATTTGTCATCTTAGGCGGCGATGTTTATCCATAATTATTTCCACTTTTTAAATTATAATGATAATCTTTTCAGAGAATTTAAGAATAACTTAAATTAATCTATCTCTACTACCAACTATCAATATTTTGTAAATATAAAGGATTTATTTTTAGATAATAAATTCAATTAAAACCTCCATTATTTACAATCAATTCATTATTATAGCATTATGAGCTTGCTGAAATATCTAAACCTTTTAAATGCAGAATTTGGAAAACAATGTATATGATTGTTTGCAATATATAGATTTGGTCTATGAATTGTATTATAATAGTTCTATAATAAAAGTATTAATTTCTACAGCAATAAATTTGTCCTATTTCATCTCAAATTTAATAGATAACCCTCCAAAAAATTTATCCTACCCCCATTAAAACCGCATACCCTTTACCCTCCTCAAAAAATAGAATGCAAACTGTTCCTACCCCTCCCGCTCATGTAGACGCTGATGATATGATAAAAAGAAAGATCCAATATCTTAATCCTGTATTATGGAAATCCATTTGTGGCGTAGTCACTTTCCATCCCCTAAAATAAATTGGAAGAAAAGTCGCGCTTATGCTGAGGTGCAGAGAAATTCGTTCTTCAACTTATAAATGGAAAGAAACAGATGGCTTCCGTCGCCTTGTTTTTAAAAAATTTGTTAAAGTTGCATATTAAAAATTTTTTATATAAATTTAGGATTAATTTATAACGTAATTAAAATGAAAATATAAAACCAGGGTTTAATCTAAACTTAGAAACTGAACCTTCCTTTAATAAACATTACAGAAGAAGTCAATTCTTTTTTTACAAACCCACGCCTATTTTGAGATGAGACTAATGTTGTCTTTATTAACCAAGAGTAAATATTCTTATTTTTTTGTAAATTTTAGATACCCTAAAGATGTCTAAAATACTCCGTAAAAACGAGCACCCCCCCCCCCCCCTCAGCCCACATTTATGATAGTCGATACCTCCCTTCTCCCTTTCATGGGGAATAAATACTCGGTACCAGAGTTGGGCAGATTATCCTGAAAAACAATCTAGATACGGATACAGAATCTTTGTGAAAAAATGAATCTTAGATACAGATACTAATTTCTTTTTCAAAATATCAGAAAGATACAAGATAAAAGAAACTTGTAACTTTTGCTTAATTAGAGTATCTTGAATACAATATATTTTTAAATTCATTACCAATTAAATTGGAATAGTTTATAAAATACAGTTTTTATAATTTATTGTGAAGAACATAACATACTCATATAATAAGAAGGAATATTTACAATAACTAATAAAATATTTAATGATTAGTTAGTTATAATAATCAGGCATTTTAATATTGGTAATAGTCCATTCTAGCATAGATAAGAAAGGGAGACTAGTATTTTTAATAAGAGCTGAAATATTAATCTGCAAAAGAGTATTTAAAATAGATACATTATTTTTTAAGATAATCAAATTTTTCAAATAATTTATCATTAGACCTTTCCCGTATCGGCGTACTTAACATTGTGCGAAAACTAAATAACCTTTTATTTGGAGCTAATCAAGGTATTGCAATTTTATAATTATAAAAAATTTATATAATTGAAGGATAATAATTAAGCATTTATAATTTCAACTTTCTTTTATATAATTTAAAACCTCCAGTTCAATGTTATTTGTAAACTCAGCAACATTTGTTCCCCCCCCCCCCCCATAAAAAAATTAATCATTTACTTTATTACATGTTAAATTTATTGTTGTTATAGTTTGAGCTTGATTATATATTCTGGTACTACATTTAGGGCTTCTTTTAATATATATATATCAAAAATATTTTTTTTATCATCCTACTTAATCCATAAGTTCTTAAAATATGGATGTAAAATTGATGGCAAAAAAGCATCATTATATTCATATGTAGGAAAATAATTTCTTAAATTCTTTTGCTCGTACCATCTTGGGCAGCTTTTAATAAAGGTAGACAATATTGTAAACTCGAATTTTTAAGATAGCCTATGTCCCTTTTATGCACATATATACAATATACCTTAAGTTGTTTAAAAATTTGTGTTGAACCCTTATATTATTTTTTTTGTTATACAGGTTTTACATCTAGCCTGTACATTATTTTTTTTAAACTTTTATTTAAAAAATTTTCCATATAAAATTTTAAGACTGGGATTCGATTCAGGGGAACTTATTACCATAATTTAAATTTGAATACTTTCTTCTTCACTACCATGAGAGTTAATAATCCTACATATTAAAAAATATTACATAAAATTGGTAATGATATTTTATCGAGTAACATTTATATATAAAATATAATCTTTACTTATTTCTTTTTTGGTGTTGTTATTTTTTATCTATCTACCTTAATATGAGTTGTAAATTTTCCAGCTAATTTTGATTGTCAATATATTAAAAATAGGAGAATAAAATAAGGAAATTAATACAGGATTCTCGAAGAAAATAAGATATATACTGTGATATGTGACATTTTAAGCATAATATTAAAAAGAATCTGTATCTGTATCTTTTGTCAGGAAACTGAAAATGAAAAAGATACAAGATTCTTTTCAGAATAAAGGATCTTGGATATAGATACTAGTATTTTTTAAAAATGTCAAAAAGATATTGAGTACAAGATACAAAAGGATCTTATATCTTGTATCTTAGATGCATGCATTCGCGGTACTGCCCAACTCTGCTAGGTACAACATTAAATTAAAAAAAAAATAACTATTTATTTGCATTTAAAAATATAACATCAAGTTGTTAACATTAGATTTCTAAGAAAACTGAAATATAACTTAAAAACAAGTAAACACTGATCTACGCTGGCTATTAGTATTTTATAACTTTAATTTGTGTGTATTATGGAAATATTGCCCGTAGAAAACTAAAAATTAACTACTTAATCGATCAAAATTTAGCACTAACCAAAATGACAATTAGAGCTAGTGTTATTAAACGGTTCAATTTGAACCGATTTAAAAAAATGACTAACTCAATATTTTATCCGATTTCTCATAGATGGTATATATGATTGAACATCTATTGGCCAAATCTCCACACTTTAATATCTTCCTGGCTATAGTTGAGTTAGCCGTTTTTAAAAATCGGCTCAAATTGAGCTGTTTAACAACATTACTGGAGCTTTAAGATTTGTTCATTCATAAGTAAAATGTTTAAAAAGAATGAGGATGAAAATATAAAAAAAAAAGGTAAAAGATCTTAATAAGCCTCTAATATTTTTTAAAATATATAAGGTACTGGAGCAAATTTTGATCCAAGCTCCTTTTATTATTCTCCAAATGTTTTAAACCAAGGTGTACCTCCTCCAAAATCATATGATACAAAATATAATTCATCTGCTGATATACCTTTTGATTATTTAACAGGAGACAACAAATTAATTAAGCATAGACATCGCAATGAGGAAGAGTAATTATAAATTTTAATCTATTATAAAATATATTTCTAAGGTATTTTGAAGCTGACAGTGATGAAGAAAAAGCTAACACTAAAGCAATGAAAAGAACTCATCCTGATTTGAAACCTGAATCGGATTATGAAGAATTAGAATACATACCAGCCCCTGGAAGTCCTACTGCTTTTAACATGGATGCAAATGATGATGATGATAGTATTGATCCACTGGAAGCTTTTATGTCAAAAATTGATGTAAATAACATTTTAAAATTGTTCAAGAGGACAAAACTATTTTAATTAACAATGAAAAATATTTCTTGTATTAAAGTATGAGTTAGATGATTATATGGGGATTAAAAAAATGTCAGTTACTAAGATTTTTCATTGTGACCAAAGATTAGGGTTGGGCAAATTATCCAAGGATATATTTGAATATAAATACACACATCAGAAAAATTTGAATACAAATACATTTTTATTAAAAATTCTAAAAAAACATTTAAATTAGTGATTAGTGCTACTACTTCAAAAAATAAATGTTTTACTCTGTACATTATGATAAAAGGAATGTGTTACTTGTTATTTAAAAAATTCAAAATATAAATAAATTTTTCTTTCCCCATAGATAACAACATTACACAAAAACAATATTTGTGATAATTTTTTATTATTTTTAACAATTGTTATTCAAAATTTTGTTCAAACATATTTAACTGACATAGAAGGATCATCCTCAAAATTTCATTCAGATCTTTATCATTTTTTATACTTGTCAGATGTAGAAAAGTTGGAATTTAAAAAAATAAAATAAAAATATAATTAAATACTAAAATATTAATTCTAAATCTTTATTATATACTAATAATTAATTATAATTAAATATAAAGTGAAAACAACCAAAAATAAAAGAAAAAGTAAAAGTAAAAGACTAAAAATTATATGCAAAAAATAATAAGTTTCAAGTTAAAAAATAAACAGTTTTTATCGCATGATATTTTCTCAAATATATATCCTTTTTCTTTAATATACATTTACATAACCTCAATTTAATAATATAATAATTTGCATATACATTTCTTGTTTTTCTTGTTTTTGTTTAAAGTAGATTTGAATATTAAAACACATATTACAACACCTTTATCATAATTAATTCATATTTTACCATCATGTTTATTAGATTTGAGCTGCTGAACATTGAGGTTGTAATATATTGGAGCACAATCTACACTTACAAATATAAATTTGGTGCCTTTAATTTTCTTTATTGGTATAAAAAATATTTCATTATGGGGCCAGGGTAGAGTTAAATCGTCTGAAGAAATAAGTATTTATCCTTTATAAAATAAATTATAAGAATATAAATTAGCATACCTTGATTGTTTCAATATTAATAACATGTATAAAATTCAATAACAAAAATGTAATAAATAAAATAAAAACTAAGAACATTGGTGGTTAATCGAATTTTAAAAATTAGGCTTAAATTATTTATAAAATTTAGGAAAAATGTATTAAAGTAAAATATATATTTTTTAAGGAAAAATTTAAAGTAACATATTGAGTTACCAGCAGGGCTGTGAACCAGACTCTCAACCCTGAATCAGCCTTTGAAGCCTCAATATTTTACTGAACTAAACCCAAACCTGAGCCCATTTTTAAAATTTAGGGTTCAGAGTTTAAAATTTTTTTTAGAAAATATTCTATTTTTTTTTTATTTTATAAAACTATATTAAAATTAAATATAAAATAACATATAATTATTTAAAACATAATATAAATTTTTTATTTTCAATATAAAGACATTTTTGGTGAAAATTATATTGCATGGAATTCTTTTTATTATATTTTAGAGTACTCCATTTTATGTAAAATTTTTAAAATCCAGCATATTTTGTATTTTTTTAATAATAGATAATAATATATGTTTTAGGAATATATATTTTTGTTCTTTATATTAAAAGTTAGACCAAAGAAAAGAACATAATCACAAGATAAAATAGCTTTATTAATTGTAAGTTGCAATGCTCTGTCAAAGTTAGGAATTAAAAATCACTTAATTTTGGAAGATATCATGACAAACATATTCTAATTATAATAATATATTTTATGGTAAGGTCTAAATATAGTAATATAAATATATAAAAAACTGATGTTTCTGTTATCTTCTTAACTTTATAACCTTAACCACAAATTCGGAACCCACCTGAACCTGGTTCAGAAATATTTCACTGAAACAGAACCGAAATTGAACCCTTTTTTAGAAGGAGGGTTCACACCCTAGTTACCATTACTTAAAAATGAAACACATTATTCATTACCTTTTGAAAGAAATAACAAATGGCTTTCCTTTTCCTCAAAAAAGTAATATAATTAGTAATGACTATCTTACAGTACTAATTTATCCACAAATACTTCTTGGAAATAGATTTTTATAATATACTATACCAATAATAAATTTTTTTAAAACATAAATCAAAATTAATTATTTTCTAAATTCAAATATAATAATTATGTAAATAATATTATTGTATTAAATTGCATCTGCCATAATAGGTATCCTGTCTTTACAGAGAATCTTTTATAGAGAATGCAAATATAGAGAAACTTTTATAGAGAAAACAATAGTAGAGAATGACCTTTATAAAGAATATCGTTTATAGAGAATGATTTTATAGAGAATTTATTGTATATAGTATAAAGAGAAAACAATTATAGAGAATGTCGTTTATAGAGAATCTCATTTATAGAGAATGATTAGAAAATCTCGTTTATAGAGAGAGAAACTTTTAAAGAGAAAACAATTATAGAGAATGTCGTTTATAGAGAAAACAATTATAGAGAATGTCGTTTATAGAGAATGTCGTTTATAGAGAATGTCGTTTATAGAGAATGTCGTTTATAGAGAATGTGGTTTATAGAGAATGTCGTTTATAGAGAATGTCGTTTATAGAGAATGTCGTTTATAGAGAATGTCGTTTATAGAGAATGTGGTTTATAGAGAATGTCGTTTATAGAGAATGTCGTTTATAGAGAATGTCGTTTATAGAGAATGTCGTTTATAGAGAATGTCGTTTATAGAGAATGTCGTTTATAGAGAATGTCGTTTATAGAGAATGTCGTTTATAGAGAATGTCGTTTATAGAGAATGTCGTTTATAGAGAATCTCATTTATAGAGAATGATTTTATATAGAATGTCGTTTATAGAGAATGATTTTATAGAGAATATTATACAGAGAATTGTTTTACAGAGAATTATTTTATAGAGAATATTTTACAGAGAATTGTTTTAGAGAGAATTATTTTATAGAGAAGGATTTTATAGAGAATAATTTTATATTGAAGAATTTTATAGAGAATGATTTTATAGAAAATGAATTAAGTATTATTTTAGAAATAAATTTTCTCAAAAAAACAAGCCAGATGCCGTCATATAAATTCTCGGAACCCTTGAATAAAAAAAGGGAAAAAATAATCTTAAAAAAAATTATTCACCTTCCTGATTTGTATTGCTTATGAATAATTATGATAATATTTTTGAGTTTCCTGTTGTTATTTTTTTTAAAAACGCTGATAAATTAGAAGTAGTATTGCTAAAATTATGAAAATGTTTCCTTCTTTATCAGTTTCTATTAGTGCTTTGCTTTAACTAGTAGAATAGCTATTAAAAAAAAACTATTAGCAACAAAGCAGCCTTACGCCAATTGTTTTAGAAAATTTTGTCAATATTTAGTTGCTTTGTGCATTATTTTAATCTGCTTGGCCGGCCCCGATTTTTTTAAAATATATTATATATTTTTAATTTGCCTAGATAATAATGGTGATTTAAAATATATGGCCCTGCCTGAGTTTTTTAAAAAAAAGCTTTTTTTGACCAGGCCGGTGTATTTAAAAAAATAAAATTCTAGGCTCGGCTCCGGTATATTTAAAAAAATTAAAATACGGCCCGGGTTTAAGGTCGGGCCTGTAGGTCTCTGATTTATAGTGCGCTTTTATAATTTCCCTAATAAATCTGATTTTACCAATTCCGAAGAGAATCTACCCTGGGAATTTCATACGATTGCACTAAAATTTTTTTGTATTTAATAATTTTATTTTGTTGTATTATTAGCATTTAAAATCATTAATTGAATGCGTTTTATTAAATTTTAAATCTTATTTTGCCGAAAATGCATTATAATATGTGTAGAATACCCACCCTATAAATTTCAGAAGATCTTATATTGAACTTCTGAAGAAATTTTAATTTACATTAATCTGAAATTTATAAGTAGTGTTAGTAGCCTAAAAATCAGCTAAACATAATTTGATTAAACCGAAAAATCGCCTAAAACTAATTAGACAAAATGTAGGGACTGGGAGCTAGGCTAATCGCCCGTCAGCGTTATGCAACACTAAGCCTAGCCTTTATTAAAATTATTTTATATATTTATTGTGTAACGATATATGACGGGCGATTAACCGAGCTCCTTAGCCGATGCCTAATTTTTGAATAATTAGTTTTCGCCTATTTTTATGTTAAGCCTAATTTTAGCCGATTTTTTAACCTAAAAACTTTGCTAACCGTTTTGGAATTGCCTAAAATTAACCGATTGCGCAACATTAAGGGTTGGTATTCTACACTTATTCAGGTGCATTTCTGGCAAAATCAGATTTTTAAATTTAATAAAACGCACTCAATTAATGATTTTAAATGCAAATAATAACAAAAAATAAAACAATACCCATCAAACTATCGCCTTACCAAAATTAAGTTTAGTTAAAAGATCATTAGAGTACTGTCTATAATATTCACAGGGTAGGCAAGGAAGACCAGGGGGTGGTTGGTTCAATTTCTGTCAAAATCGTCATAGGTCCGAAAATAATTGTATCTGAATTTACAAAATACAAAATGATAGTTCAAACCCTTACCTAAAATTTATACATTGACAAAATTTAAAATAATATACTTTTTTCTCTAAATTGAATTTAGTAAAATAAAAATTTCTTATTACAAGCCTAAACTCCTTAGCAGTGTAGAGATGAATCAAAAAGTTTAAAATGTTTTTTTATAGGTTTTTTGCACTTGTTAAACATTCCGAAGATCAGACTTTTAATATGTATAAGAAATTTTTTATTTACATATAGGGATTATATTTATTGATACCAATTTGTTTATATGGTTGGTTCACAGACAAACTTGTATTTCATCATATGATTATAAGAAGCTTTGTATCATGATATACACTGATTTCCATCTCATTGTAATGTCTTTCTTTAGAAAATATCGAAGCTTGATATTTGCAGCAGATTGCACAATATTTTACTAACTCTTTTACACTTAGAAGATATTTCAAATACCTAATTATCAAAAGATTTTGCATCATATATTATAATACTACACCCTTCTTCCCCCACTCCACTCATTTCCTATACCACATCAAAACTAGAACAACGGAATTCCAAATACAAACTACCCATTTTAATTTCAATGCCAATCTTGAGTTATAACCCCTTCCCCTGTGGTAAAAGGTCCTGTTTAACATTGTTTGAATGGTTAACCGTCTTTTTATTATTGGTAGTCGGTCTATATGGTTATAAGCAAGTATAATAATCATTAATATTTAAATTTCTTCTTTTCAATGGGGCTAATTATTTATTCAAACTTTTCTGTTGAGAAGGGGGGGGGGTGTTTCTTAATAAAAAATTTTCATGATTAAAGCAATATTTTTATTTTCCAGCATAACATAAGGATTTTCATTATCTACGCTTCCTGCGACAGATATCTTACTTATATATTTTTTATAGGGCCTAGCTTTCTACTATAAAAAGTGGAATCATAAATGATAAGTTCGCTTCAGCTTGTTTAATTAATTTTAATATCCGTCAATGCTTGCCTTTAAAACTTTTATTTTAAATCTTTCTAAACCTCTTTTAGTCTTGAAGAATACACATTAAAAAAATATGAAGGCATAGAAAATGTAAAAAAGAGATATTTTCCACCTTCCGATTTTTTAGGTATCTACTCCTTGAAGTACAACTCACAAAGTAAATATTTTATTCCATTAAATTTTCTCATCTTCAGCGATGATAGTAACATCCAATCACTATTATCGCCACTCTAATAAAATTTATGACATTCATCAGATTAATAAAATATAGCAACTGAACTGAAATGGAAATATACTATAATTTGTGTTAAAAATAGCTAAGTTATTTTTAATAATATATGAGGCATGTTCAATTCATTCAATTTTAGCTCTACTTATATTTATTATATTTCTATATCCATTTTTATACAATTTTGTCTTTGATCACATAATTAGAAAAAAGACTCGTCAGGAAGCAAGAACTTAGCAAGAATCAATTAAGGAAATCAATGATCTATTTTTTCCCCAATTCCTGAGTCACAATAGTGGCAATTTCATCATCAGAGATTACACGAATTAAGTACTGAGATGGATAGCAATTCAATTCGACAATCTACCTATGATGCTGAATATTGTTTCATGTCTTGTTGTGATAAGTTTTGACCTTGTCTTTTTGATTAAACAATAAGAGAACTTTATACAAATTTATTATCAAAAAATGCTTATCAAGTCCATACTAAATCCCTCACTAATTAAATGCTTTGTCAAAGAATAATATAAATCCGAGGTTTAAATATCTGTTTGGCTCAATGTTTTAAATAAAACTTTTTTCTTAGTGCCTTGCAAATTTTATTTATTTCGGCCAAACCTCCATCCAAAATCTTTATTTTTAGGAGTCTAGCCATAATTTTTAATTTTAGGCCTGAACCTGTCCTGTCCCAAATTTAATTGAAAAATATAACTAAACGCATATTTAAACAATCAATTAATATAAAAATTTAATTCCTTCACCCTAATCTTTAGAGAAATCTATTTTATTGCTTAGAATCTTAATATTTTTTGAGTCAAAAAAATAAAAGCCTTAACCCTATTTTTTAAAAAAATAGACCCAAGCCCGACTTTAACTTAATTTCCAGGTTCAACTAAGTCTGTCTAAAGGCCGATAAATATAAAATTGTAGTTTTCATCAAACTCCATTCCCGATATCGCAACTGATGTAATTCATTTAAGATAATGCATTCGCGACAATGAATTAGCGATAATACATTTGCTATAATGCATTCGCGCTAATACATTCGCGATAATGCATTCGCTATAATATTTTCGCTGTATTATACTCGCTATAATGCATTCGCGGTAATGCGTTCCCTATAATACATTCGCTTATAGAGAATGGTTTTATAGAGAATGTCGATTATATAGAATGATTTTAAAGAGAATTATTTTATAGAGAAGGTCCTTAATAGAGAATGACTTCAAAGAGAATGTTGTTTATAGAGAATGATTTTAAAGAGAATTACTTTTATAGAAAATTATTTTGTAGAAAATTACATTGTAGAGAATTATTTTGTAGGGAATTATTTTCTAGATCTTGATTTTATAGAGAGATATTATATATGGGACAATTTATATAGAAACCTTCAATTGACGGTTTTAATTTTTTAGGTAGGACAAAATTATGGTGCTTCTATTAAATCAAAAATATTGGTTGTGGAACCCCAAATAGAGATCGGCACTTTTCGACACTCAATATATTAAAGCCATCGCATACATCTAAATATGTATTATTAGAGATTAATGAATTCTTAGTTATCTATATTAAAAAGATTTATGAATAAAATTTGTGTAATAAAATAGAAAGAAAATTATATTTAGAAACGTGTTCTTAAAACGCAGAACGAACGGGAATGTGACATATTTTTTACCCAAACAACTGGTTAAAACCTTTTCTTAATTAAAATTAGAATCAAGATTCTCGTCCGTCATATTATATCCATAAGGGTAAAGTTAAGAACCCTTCTATAGGCTAATTTAGGTAGCTGACATATAAATGCAATATATAAAAATTTAAAAAATGGTTGGTTCAGTTTAGATTCACTTTGATAACGGTTAATACATATTTAACAAATCGTTTCAGGTTTGGTTTAGCTGAGTTAATAATCAAGCTAAACCTTGATATGAACTAAAAAGATTTTACAAAAAAACCATTGTTGAAACAAATAAAGTCATAGAAAAAATACAACGAATAAACTGAATTGTATTATTAAAATGTTAATTTTGATATATTTTTCAAATCCCGCATAAATTTTTTGAACTCTATAATTGTCCCATATATAATATTTCTCTATAAAATCAAGATCTAGAAAATAATTCCCTACAAAATAATTCTCTACAATGTAATTTTCTACAAAATAATTCTCTATAAAAGTAATTCTCTTTAAAATCATTCTATATAATCGACATTCTCTATAAAACCATTCTCTATAAAATCATTCTCTATAAATTAATTCTATATAAAACATTCTCTATAAAACATTCTCTATAAAACATTCTCTATAAAACATTCTCTATAAAACATTCTCTATAAAACATTCTCTATAAAACAATTCTCTATAAATGCATTCTCTATAATTGTTTTCTCTATAAATGTTTCTCTATAAAATACATTCTCTATAATGGTTTCTTTATAAAGACGTGGAACCGCCATAATAGAGCATAAAATTGAAGGAGTTTGAAAACATTCAATTTATTATTTTTGTTTTATTTTTAATTAAGCAATTGCATTGTATTTTTATTTTATTATTTATTTTGGATTTTGAAACATTGTCTACTGTGCCATGATATCAAAAAATTTGTTTACTTTCACTTTCAGTAAGAACATTTCCCATGTTAAAAAATGATATTAAGATTTTGATTTTTTTTTATTTAACTTAGAATACAAATTAATATTTAGATAGATTGATATCAAAAAATTTGTTTACTTTCACTTTCAGTAAGAACATTTCCCATGTTAAAAAATGATATTAAGATTTTGATTTTTTTTTATTTAACTTAGAATACAAATTAATATTTAGATAGATATTATGTATTATACATTTATAATTATAATTCAATTTATGATAATAAAATTAAAAGTATTTGTATTTACTGAAATCATAATAAATACAAGACGCTTTATATTCTTTAGTATTTAAAATACAAATACTAAATATTCTATAGATTATTCAAAAAAATACAAAAAAGTATTTGTATATTTAGTATTATAAATACAAAGATTCATGATGCTACTTTCCCAATTTCATAATTATTCATAAATTTTAAGATAAGATATTATAACTATATTTTTATGACAAGATAATATTTCTAAAAAACAATGGTAATTTTTATTAGAAATTATTTTATTCTTTATTAATTTTTATTTCTGTTTGTATGATTTATATATTATATAATCTATTTTTAATGTTATTTATTTATACAGAAACAAGCTGTTAAAGATTTAAAAGAAATACAACCCAGTAAAAGAAAAGACAAGTGCCTGATTTTTTTTGTTGACATTTTTTATTTTATCAATTTAAGAAATTTAAATTTTTTTATTTGACCAGTTTGCACTATCTGTTATTACCCCATCCATCATAATTGTTTTAAAATTATATTAGCTTGAAATTCAAAATAATATATCAAAATTTTAATGCCCTGGCTTTTAAAATTTTACGAAAAATCAAAGATTTGTGAGGCCCTGCCTGATTTTTTATTTATAAATTTCACCGCCTGACCCAAAATTTTTTTATGTTCGAATTGCTTGGCTCTTTAAATTTGTTTATATTTAATACAAGCAAGATTAAATCGTCATTAAAATCTTTCTCAAGTTTTTTTTTGTTAATTGCCAATTATATATTTTGTAATTGAGACAACTCGTAAAAAAAGACTGATATTATTTATTAATGGTTTATTTTGTTAAGTATAGATGTTGGATTCTGAGATAAAATATAACTCCCCATATTTATATTTTCGAATCAGACGGTTAATTAATATTATTTTATACGCTAAACGTTTAGGTTTAAGTTAATAATTAATTAATATTTGAAAAAGTTCACTTTTTGATTTTTTATATAAAATTTAAGCTTTTGAGTATTGAGTTATATAAGTATTAGATTTATTTATATCGTTATAACATTATATTAAGATCTATGTTTAATCTCTATGACATAAAAACATGTTTAGAGGTCTTCGAGAAGACATTGAAAATGAGGATGAACAAGAATCGTTTTTTAGATATATGGAAGAAAATCCAATGGCCGGTGTTGCTTACATAGAAGATGATTTCCAATTAGAATATGATGCTAATGGAAATCCAATTGTACCCGAACGTTTAAAGGTTTTCTTTTATGAATTGATTCTTTTAAAAATCGTTTTCTATTTGCATAAAAATTAATTCGCCAATATTTGCCTTCAATACCAGAACATCATAATTTTAATGATCTCCCAATAAAGGGATTAAATTATTCAAGGATTTTACATTTCTTAACTCACGTAATTTTATATAATTAATAAATTTTATTTCAAAACGTGCCTTGTTTTGGCTTGTTAATACTTTTTTTATCAAGCCCAGCCCGTTGTAGTTTTTTTACCTGGCCTAACCCATTTCAATTTTTTTTTAAATTTGCCCGGCCATTTTTTAAACTAAAAGTCGGACCTGGCAAACCATTAAAGTTTTACGAAAAGTCCACTCCAGTCTGTTCTATTTTTTTATACAAATTTTCCGGCCATCACCTTTTTAATATATATATTTTTTTTCCTCTAATATCTCTCCTATATGTCTATCTATTTCTACAAAAACGGCTTTATATTAAATTTTGTTTGTATCTGTATGTGCATTTGGAATTATATCTTCATAAATAAATTGTTTAATGCGAATTTACTATATTATTTTCAGATTTAGTATTTTTGTTAGACAGCACTTAAAATGCAAAAAAATAAGCATATTATAATTTATTTTCAAATAGTATTATAATCAAAATATTTGCTGAAATTTAAAAAAATATATCAAAATTTTGCTGGCCTATTAAAATTTTACAAAAAGAGACCCTGCTATTTTATAAATTGTCCGACCCAGACCGAAATTTTTTTCCATATATTGCCCAGCCTGTAACCCATTATAAATTTTTTCTGGCTTGATATGATTTTTTTAAAAAAAATTTCAACCAGCAGAAGCAGATCTCTAATAAATCGACCAGAGATTCAGCCGAACATCTCATAAATGAATGAAACTTGGCATGTTAGTTATTTATGTTGTAAATGTTAATATAATATAAATTTTAGAGCGCCAGCTCAACCAGATCCAAAGATATACGACTTCTAAGTCGAAAATCGCGTATTGCATGATTTCATTAAATCTTGTTTTTTTAAAAAAATACTTAAGATAGAGTTACAAATTATATATCATTTTATAGCCCTTTTAAATTTTTACATTGGAAAATATCGAAAAAAAAAATTCCAAGTGTTTTTGTATTTCCGGTAAATAAATTAACATTGTTAGGAAGGGTTTTTTTTGGGTGCTGATATTCTAAAAATGTTTAATACCTTTATATTAAACTATTTAATAAAAAAATTCGATAGCCATTTTTGTTTTTTTAATTTTATTTAAATTTTGATTATTTTTATATTAAAAATATGTATTATATTGGTATTAAAATTTAAAAAATCTTTTGAAGATAATCAATATGATGTCATGTGACAATAAGCAAGGAAGCAGTTCCTACAGATATGGTTATTAGGACGCTATATTTTAAAATTTTATATACAAACAATTGTAAAAAATACCTCTTGTTTTAATCTTATGCCATTTTGCGCTTATTAATAGAATTTCCTGAGGCGATAATTTGTAGGTACGTCGATCTACATTATTTGATTAATGGGCAACCATATCTTTTCCTCAATTGTGGGGTAAAAGAAGGATGGTGATGGTTCATGGAAATATATAAAGAAAATATATCTCCCCAGTAATTTCATTCTTTTTTAGTACTATGGCTTTCTACCAAAAATCGTCATAAACATATGTTACGAATCCTTTAATATCGGCAAAAGACAAATTAGCGGCATATGAGATATTGTTAATTTGAAAGTCCTCTGCATATTAATATATTTTTGATTTAAGTTAACATAAACTCAAAGGAAATACAACATGTAATTCCAGAGTTCCTGAAATGGGGCGAGCTAAATTGAATCTTTTTCGTAGTTTAATCTCTTCTGGTTATATATGTAAAATTTACTGATGGCATGTTTTGTTTTGCAAACTGATATAAATTAACTGGTGTTAAAATGTGTCCAGAACTGGTGCGCTGAAGACTTGAACGTGCTGCTAATCTTTTTAATGTTCCGCCAAGGCCGTCACATGGACTTTTTCCATGGGATATAGCTGAAAAATACCATTCAACTGCTGCACCAAAATCTGATTCATGATAACACATATTTATAAATTTATTTCTGTTTTTATATTGTGCAGCTGTTCCGTCATAGCATAAATATATTTTACTTGGCTTTACTGAATAGATTGATCAAAAAAAATAACGATAGTAGATCCACAAAAGTGAAAGGATATATCTACAAATTATGGCCTCAGATATTTCTATTAATAAACGCAAAATAAAATTGGATAAAAATAAGAGATATGTTTTTATAATAGTTTGAATATAAAATTTTACAATATGTTTATTTTACAATATAGCGTCCTAATAATAATTAACTGTATGTACTGCCTGCTTATATATCTCCCCAGAACATCATATTGGTTATACTCAATTGATTTTTTAATTTTAATTCCAATACAATTTATATTTTTATTAAAAATATTAATCATCTATATTATCTTTTTTTATTTGTATAAATAATAAAAATTCAAATAAAATTAAAAAACAAAAATGGCTATCGAGATTTTTTATTAAATAGTTTAGAATAAAGGTAATAAACATTTCTATAAAATAATAACATCTCCCAAAAAGTCCGTTCCTAACAATGTTAATTTTTAATTCTTACCGGAAATAAGAAAACATTTAGAATATTTAATTTTTTTTGATATTTTCCAATGTAAAATGTTAAGGGCTATAAAATGATATATAATTTGTAACTCTATCTTAAGTATTTTTAAGAAAAACAAGATTTAATGAAATGACGCATTTCGCAATTTCGACTTTTGTATATCTTTGGGTCTGGCTGAGCTAGCACTCTAAAATTTTGAATTTACTATACAAAATAGAAAACTACCAGGCCAAGTTTCGTTCATTTTAAAGATGGCCGTCCGAAAATCTCGTTTTTTTGGTCGATTTGACGACTCATCGTTTTTGCAAAAATATTTTGATAAATAAAAGAAAAAGTTTATAAAATATATGATGGTTGATATTTAAATATTTATTATTGAATAAAAAATATAATATGCTGCAAAAAAAATGACAAAACAAAACATTTAAAAAATTATCTTTAATCAGATAATAGACCCGCTACCACCTATCGACCATTCCTTTATAAAGTATAAAGCCTTTAACAAAGATTTTTACGAAGAAGCACCCGATATTGCACAATTAAATGATGACCAAGTTAAGGAACTAAAGCAAAAATTGGGCATTCAAGTAAAAAACATTCATTAAATATACTATTGGCTTTGAAATCAAGTGCTCCCACGAATTAATTTTAAAAAATCAATAAGGTAGGCGAAGGATAATTGAGAGGTTAAAATAATATGAATAGTAGGTTTATTTGAGCTTTGTAGATTGGAATTCTTAAAAGTTAGCAAATATTTCCAAATTTTTTTTACGGAGATATTCTGCATAAGATGAAAAGTTTATAGGGAACATGCCATTCAATAATTTAATTTTTTTTTATTTTCCTAATGTAAGATGGAATAGTTAGCTTATAGAAAGTAGATCTCTGCATGGGCCGGCTGTCGGCTACATCAGAGCCCACTAGAAATTGGATTTTGACCAACCAAGCCTTTACTTAAACCTCGTTGGGCAAAAATTTTAATTTTTAGGCCAGACTTGCAATTTTTTAGCGCTAATTCAGGCCTGATAAGAAATGAAATGTTCTTGAGTATAAGATAATAATAAACCAAATTATAATCGTTACTGGATAAATTTTTTGTGGACAAATAAAATGTTCTTAAGATAGATCGTCCCCGGACAATATGTCCTTATTTAATTTATTATAAGAAATTTGAGTTCTCATTTTAAATACAATATTCAGAAATGTACTGATAGTGTTACCACTTTTTTGATTATGGTATCGGGTCGATAGCGCAGATATCTGGCAATAAAAATTACTGAAAAAATATACATAATCTTTACCATATTTTATTAATTCATCAATTTTTTTAAAAATATATAATAATGTGCTAACATTTTAATTCCACGGCTAAAATTATTCTATAAAATGTTCACTAATATAAAGAAGTAATTAAATCATTTTAAAAAAATATCAATTTGAAAAAACTAATTTTCCGATAAATTGTAAAATACTTGATATATTTTGAATGATAATTTATTTTTAGTTCTCGAAAAATTATTTAACTAAACTAACCTTTATAGGGTTTAATAATAGGGTATCATTAAAGAATAAAATATATGAGATGATACCAACCAATGCCATGATTATCAGTGTATCTTTGACTATATTAAATAGACTATATATCATGCATAAAATAACTAACTTAAATTATATGTTAACCCGCTTATCAATTTTTAATTCGTATATCTTTAAATTCTAATAATTTTAATATATTTTTATACCTCCTTATTAAAATACACATATTGTTACTGACGAAATTTGAAATATTTTCCAGTATATTTTTAATAAGATAACAGATATTAATTAGGTCCTTTCCAACTACCCGAGAAATCCGATGGGCTAGATTTATTTCCACCATTTTATATTTTTATCTTACATCTATTCTAGGTACTAGTTATTTGTTTTTCTCAATTCAATAAAATAATATATGGGAATTTAATCCGGGGACATTTTGTCCTATTATAAAAATGGATTTTTAATAGGTTACCGGGGTTCTTCCCCCAAAGCCTGTATGTAGCTTCGCCCATTTTCGATTCGATCAAAGCATCATGTCTTTATTGAGGAAACACGAATTTACCCAACCTACACCTATTCAAGCTCAGGTGATATTTTATTTAATAACCTGCACCCTTTAAATTCTTTTAGGGGTTACAAATTTAAAATATTAAAAGTTTATAAACGAGAGCATAGATAGTAAGGATGCTTATTTTAAATATAGTCGAAGCACCTCTACATGGTAAAACCTCCATCTTACCTTTTTAGGTCGGGTAGCCCTGCCTAAATCAATTATTTTAGAAATGTTTTATCTAAACATTACTCCCTTTGTTTACCAAAAAGTTTATTTCATTTGAATGATCACCTTGTAGAGGTTTTATTTTTATATATTATTTCTTTAACCTCACGTTTATTTCATATAAACAAATTATTTATAAAAATAAATTTTAATAAAAAGGGAATTCCAATAATTTTAAGTGGAAGAGATTTGATTGGGATAGCTAAAACTGGTTCCGGAAAAACTTTGGCCTATATTTTACCGATGATTATTCATATTTTGGATCAGGTATATTCAAAATAAAATCTATTCATTCGTTAAAAACAAAATATAAACTTTAAATGAATTCGAGCAATTTAAAATCTCTTTGATTTTTTTAAAATTTTGTTTTTATATAAACATATTTTTTACAATTCTCAAAATTTTTTTAAATATTAAAAAAATATATAAACTCTAATATCTTTGCCTCTTTAAACAAAATATTATAAAACGCATGAATAAAATTTTATAGAAATTTGGACCATGCCAACTGAATATTTGAAGCAAAAATTTGGAAACGCTATTAAGCTTCTTATTTAAATTCAATAATATCGTTTTTAATTTTATAAACCTTAATTTATTTTTCTCCTATAACTTTGATTTAAGTTATTTGATTTATTCTACTAAAAAAAATTAGGAAGTCCTTGTAAAACTATTTAAAAAAAGTTTTTATTTATTTTAATTTAAAATTAATCTTCTAGTCCAATATAAATTATAGATGGGATTTTCCTGCTAAGCGTATGTTATAATATTACGCGCTGAAGCAAGTTGAGATGAAAACTTAGATAATGTGTTGATATGTAAGTCTGTAAATCAGAGACTTGCAGGCCCATAGTAGACCTTGGTATAATAAAATTTGGACCAGACTTGAAAGTAAAAAAAAGTAATTATAAACTCGTGTTGGGGAAATCGATTTTTATGACAACTTTTGAACTGGGCCGATTAAAATAAATTTAAAAAAAACATTAACAATTATTTAAAATAACATAATTTTAAAAATTAAGGTCGGGCATAAAACGAATAACTTCGACTGGGGCAAAAATGGTTTTAACCCTTCAATACTCCGGTGAAAAAAATGACGTTAGTACTCGGGTGGGGTTTAATAGACCCCAATTTCAAATGTATATATCTCCAGTAATATTCATTATTTTCATTTGATATTTGGATATGAAATAGATCTAACCTTAAGCTTGATAAAATATTTATATATTTTTATTTCTTAAGCCTAGATTAAAGATGATGAGGATTATAAATTGTGCCAAAATTTTTTAAAAAAAGCTTACTTTTTTTAAATTTCAAATATAAAATTAAAAAAATAACTTATCCATCATATAATCATGATAATTCATAATATTGATCTTTATTCTTCATTGTAAAAAAAATTACACTAATACATTCAAATATAAAAAAAATATAGAACATACAAATTTACTCTGGTGGGGTCTCACAAACCCCAACCAGTCACAAAATGCTTATATCTTAAAAACTACTAAACCGAAATATATGAAATTTGGAATATAGATTCTAAGATATATTTGATGAAGCTACCGAAGAATCCAGATCATAGTATTTAACCGTTTTTATGTAATATCATTTCTAGCATGCCTGGGGTTTCATATACCCCACCAGAGTATTGATGGGTTAAAACATATGCCAGGTTTGATAATAATAAAATTAAATTCGGGCCAAGTTGTATAAATTTGACCTCTGCAGGTCTTAGCTGTAAATAGATAATTATGAAAATAAGTGTATAATTATATAAATTATCAAACAAGGAAAATATGTAACTCGAAATATATAACAATAACTAGGAAGGTCTGAAGGCAGGTCAAGGTCCCATCGCTTTAATTCTCGTACCAACTAGGGAATTATGCATACAAGTGTACCAAGAATGCAAAAAATTTACCCCCTATTTGGCCTCTCGTCATAGTACTGTTAAAAATAGTATCGTTATCGATGAAAATGAAATTGTTGATGATTTTAAAATTATTTGTGCCTATGGGGGAGGTAATATGTGGGAACAACAGAAGGCTTTGGAAATTGGTTGCGACATCTTGGTGGCCACTCCGGTAATTTATAACTAAAATTTATTTGTTTTATCCACTTTGGATTTATCTTAAGAATTTAATATATTTAAATTTATTATTTCTTATCTTCATAAGTCAGGATTGTTAAGCTATACTTAACTTAGTTTAAATCTTTCTGTATATTGGATATGAGTTTGGCAATATCAAACAAAAAAAATGCATGAATGTATCGTATTTTAGAGTATTTAATACTAAATTTTGCATCATTGGGTTGGTTTAAACGAATATAATAAATGAGAATGGTAATTTAAAATAAATATTATTATATTATAAAACAGTGATAACAAATGAAATTAGGGATGTACCGATATTTCACCCATTTTAAAATATCGGTTATCGGCCAATATTATAAAATTTTCCAATCCGATCCGATATAAAAGGCGTCTTTAACAAAAATAAAATTTTAAAAAAAAGTTATATCTAAAATCATTTATTTTTATAAATAAAATCGAAATCCATTTTTATGTATATTTTTTTAATAATTATAATTAATTAATAAACTTTCTGCCATATTGTTATTTTTTTTGCGCATTCTGTTAATAAAAGTGTGCGATAATCTCTTCAGAATTTGTTTTTAGTGAAGCTGGTGATATTGACAGTTACCATCGCCGCAGGCTGACCTTTGATAAATTGGAAATATTGGTATTTTTAAAAAGAAATCTTCAATAATATTTTAAATATTTATTTCAAATTTCATAATATAATTGTTTATCACTTATGTATATAGATTAATGTTATTACTTATTATATAAAAGTGATTTAACAATGAAAATATTTTATATACTTTTAAAATTGCAATTGAATATAAACTAAAACTGATCTTATAATATATTTAAATGACATAAGTTATGGTATATATATTATAGATGTTATACTAATAAAAAGTATATTAAAAATTAAAACCATTGGTATCTTTACTACAAAATTAGATATGATACTGGATCGGTAATCGGCCGATATCAATTTAATATCGGATTGGATCGGCCTCCAAAAAGTGGTATCGGTACACCCCTAAATGAAATCATTATATATTTTTATATATAAACAGTTTGAAGAATTCTTTTTACACATGACAGTAGTCTTATTTGAGTCTATGAAAAAGTAATTTTTTTGAAGAAAGAAAAAGTTGGCTGTAAATATGTTTTATTAGATTGTTTTAAAATGGAGCAAAAATATAATAGGTTGAATTGCTTTAAAATTATATTGTGGTTTTTGGTTAAAAGGGTCGATTAATTGATTTGATCAAAAAAAGGGCTATGAGCTTGGAGAAGGTCACCTATTTAGTATTAGACGAAGCCGATAGAATGTTTGATCTAGGATTTGGTAAACAAAAATAATAATTTTCTAATCATAGTATTTAATATAGATAAAAAAAAATAACGGTGATCCAGAGTTCTGGACCCGAATTCGGGTTTCGGGAATTTTAAACTCTATTTCGCGGAAATATGATAAAGGAACTTAATCGAAACCCGATTTTCTAAAAGTGGTCGAACCCCCGAGTTCATATTACCCCGGGTTTGATAGGTTGCCCATATATCGGTCTGTGGTCTCAAAATGCCCTACCCCAAACAATTTTAAATTTCTGAACCCGTATATGCCCTAACTTCTTTAAATACCAAGTCAGCTAGAAAAAAAGAAGGAAGAGAGAGAGAGAGAGAAAGTTCCTTCAATTAAATTACATGAGTTATGATCCCTGATAATGTCTAAAGATTTAGATACCTTTTATAACAATTATTATACATAATTTTAATTAGAACCGCAAGTTCGTTCAATAACTAATCACGTTCGTCCTGATAGACAAAGTTTGAAAATATATGACATTAATAAATAATTAAATTCGTTATTGATTTGTGTGTGATGTCTAAAAAGATCTTTATATATTATCTAGAGTTTGTTAAACGGCTAGCTTTGAGCAAATTTTTAAAAAGGTCTATTAGTGCTCACAAATTGGACGTTTCAAACACTACGTTTCAAAAAACAAAATTTTAAATTGGGCACCTTTCCTTTTTGTATTTTAAATTATTTATTAAAACAAAATATCTTGCGTTTTTTGAAGCGTTTTTAAATTTTGAAGTGATAGAATGGATGCAACAGTAAGAATAATTATATTAAATGATACAATAATATTTTTAGCCCATGTACAAAAAGATTTGCTGAAATAATTGAACCAGACAAGATAATATTAGTATTGTTAAGGCTCGCTTTGAGCCGATTTAAAAAATGGCTAACTCAATATTTCATCCAGAAAATATTACGCAATCCTGAAGATTTTGCTCATAGAAGGAACAAAGGTCTATATATTATCGAAATCTTGAGGCTTAGGCAATATTTTTCTGGGTAAAATATTGAGCTGGCCGTTTTAAAAAATTGGCTCAAAACAAGCCGTTTAACAACACTAGATATATGGAACCAAAAACATTCGTTTATGGAACATTTATCTGTTATTGATTTCAGTTATAAATATATAGGAATATTAAATATAATCATTTAATTAGCTTAACCTTGGAATTTCCTGGTTTTGATACCAGTGTTTTATATCTAAGGAAAAGATTGAAATTTAAATATCAGTTAAATAAGAACTAGGGAGGCCATCGGGTTCAAAAAGCAGGGAAATCGTGTTTAATGAACAAGAGTGCCGGATAAAAAGGTATGTGAGTTTTTGCGTTTTGTATACAGAATGAATCTAATTTTCTGTTACTCATAACCAGTCTGTAAGTTTTTTGAATGCTGATATTGTTTAGCATAATTTAATTTTTCAGCTTATTGATCGTTAATGGAAGATTGTAGATTTCTTCGTCATTGTATAATCAATATGCATTTATGTCAAAGTAAAATGTATATTTATATTCCCCCCTTTACAATATTATAAATGGCAGTTATAATAAAATGTTTTATCTTTATTTTATTAGAATTTCTTTTACTCCATCTATGGCGATTTCCAGGTTTACGTAGGTTGGTAACTTTCCCCTCTGATTTTTCCTTTCCATTTTTGATGACCGTCCTGAGCATCAATATTTGTAAGATTCATTTTTCTCATATACGCTTCACCTTTACCTACGTTATCTTGGGACTTCCTCTAGGTCTTGATCCTCCTACTTCCATCAAGGTGCATCTCTTTACTTAATCATCTTTTGTCTTACGTTCCACATGCCCAAACGATCTTATTCTAATTCTTTGCATTACCGCTTCAATCACTTTTATTTCCATTCTGGCTCACAATTCCTTCCTAGTTTTTTTTCTCTCTCAGATACCCCACACATCCATCTAATCATTCTCATCGCTGTTCTTTCCAATTTGACTTCCTGGGGAGCTTTCATTGCCCATGTTTCGCTACCATAAACTAAACAAATCCTCACACAGCCTACATAAACTTTCCCCTTTAACTTCAGAGAGACGTTTTTATGCTAGAATAGACGACATCTCTCTGAACTTCTTCCATGCCTGTCTGACCCTTGCAGCAACATCAGAATCTAAATTACCATCTGCGTTTAGCATATCGCCCAAATAGCAAAACTTCAGGGTTAACCCAGTGCCAATATCAAAATCATCATTTTTTACGTTATTAGTAATATGTACCCCTTTTATTCCCCCGCTATATCTTTTATGCACCCATTTATGGCATCTGGTGCATTGGATTGAATTTTAAGCAACTCCTTTCCCACATACACCACAAGAATATAGATAAATTTTATGCAATGGACTGTTGTTGTTAGATCAACATCTTTCATTTAAGATGTTGTGTACCCTCAAACACGATAAAACATAAAGTGCCAAAGGATATTAACAGGTTAATAAATGTATTGGAAGAAAACCCATCTGGGAAACAGTATTTTTATCTCTAATTCATTTATATTTTATTTAGGCATTTTATTGATGACCTTATAGAGGATGCAGAAGCTTTAAGTTTAGAAAACCAACTATTATTTGAAATTGAGGTTTTAAGATTCCCGTATCAACTAAAGACAAATGGTACTTTACCAACCAATAAATCTGCATTAGATATATTTAATAGCATTATATAAATTATTTATATATTAATGATGTTTTTGTATTTTAAAAGTGATATTTTTGTTTTATATTTACATGTGAAATTATATATTTTATATTTACATGTGATATTTTTGTTTTTTATATTGACATTTTATATTTTTGTATTATATTGCAAGATATATTTATAAAATTAATAAAATTTTTATATAATACTATTCAAATAATTTATTTTTATCATTTATTAACATAATTGTGCATATTAAATAAATTAAATATATAAAAGAATTTAATATAAAATATTTTCATAAATAATTTTATTACAATATAAATAAACAAATTTAATAATTTAAATATTCCTTAAATTTATTTCTAATTTGATTCCATTGAAGAAGAATTATTTTCTCTAGGCAAGAATGGAATTTTGATGCTTACATAATTTTAATAATATTATAAATATATATGATTTTAATAATTAGATATTTCAATTTAAATATTTGTGGTACCTGTATCATATTGGAAGCTGATCCTTCTTGATTATGGATTAAGTTGGGTAAGATGGTTTTTATGACTATTTCTATGCTAGCTAGGTCAGTTTCTATTGGCTTACTCAGAAGCTCAAATTTTTTAAATAATTTCCACAAAAATTCTTTCTATATAACGAACTGTGATAACCTAATTGAATTCCCTTTCCTTCTTTCCTTTGTTGTTATACTCCCCCAACCATTACAATCATTAAAACCTGGAAAAGGATTGGGAGCAGGCAGATTAGGTGTATGGTACACCAATTCTATTATTTATATTTTTACATTATATTAAGATTAATATAATGTAACCTATATATAGAAAGCTATTTCTAAATATAAATACTCAACCATCACTCTTCTTTCCATATGCTCCTACATCTATAGAAATGAATTTTCCGTTGATATCTATAAGGCTAACAGGTTAATTGAAAATCTATGTTTAAAGTCAGAAAATTGTAGGCCACTACATGGAGGGATCTTGATAAAGATATGTTCATCTATTGCCTCAAAACAATTTGGGAATCCTGATTGAAGGGAAATCTAAAATTATAATATAAATGAATATTATCTTTGATTTAATATAATATATAAGTGTTAAATTGCTGTGTACACCGATTTCACAATGTAGTCTATACAGGATTTTGAAATCCTTGAACTATATGCTAATTGTACAAAGTATAAACTCGTAATTATATATCTTTTATATAAATGATTACTAATGAATTAAATTTATTTACCTCAAGGTAACAAATAATCTGTCTTCAGCATCAATTTGCTTGTTACAATTAGTAATTTTTGGATTTATATCATCATATATTAACCCGAGAATATTGAAAAGGTTGATCTTCTCATTCTTGTATAATTATAAAATTGGGAATTTGTCAAATTCCCTTTTAAATTAATATATTCAGAAAATAGATTTTTTAACATATATTAGCGACGTTTTGCACCTCTTTCTTCCGTTGTTTCTCTTTAAATATAGGGCAAGCATTTTTTTGTTTGGAATTTAAACGTTTCATATTGAAAAAATAAAAGTTAACCTTTCAATTTAAACATAGCTGCGTTTACGTTTTTTTATTAGCATTTTGAAACGTTCAATTTGTGCTCACTATAACTTAATATTTCACCCATAAAAATATTATGCAAGCCTTAAGATTTTGCTCATAGATGGCACAAAAGTTTCAACCAAATCTCGAGGCTTAGGCAATTTTCTGGCTAAAATATTAAGTTCGCCGTTTTTAAAAATCAACTCAAATCGAGCCATTTAACAACACTAGTTCTCTCTCTGCTAAGATACCCTATCCGATAAGCCCCAATCCCATATATAGTGTTAAATAAAACTGCTCGCGACATTTAACAATAGTTGAATATTTTTTTACCAATATTCTATCCATTCAGTAACATTATTAGTTAAATATGGGCTTGGCCCATAACTCGAAATATATTCATGTTATATTTCCTTCTTATTCTTCATTCTTGATTGAATATCATATTATAAAATGAATTTAATAAAGAAGCAAAGTTTAGTAAATTTAGGAGATGGAAAATATTTACTATTCTTTTTTTCATTCATTTATTATAATAAACATCATTAAATTATAAATTATTGCTTAATGTTTAAATCTGATGAAAATTGAATAGAGAATAAAATTTATATTTTATGGTTTGCGATTTCTCACCTATATGCTTCTTTTTTTTAAATTAGGCGGAAATGGGTCGGGCATAGGTTTAAAAAATGCCACCCGAGCCGCAGTCTTCCTGAGACCTAAATATTTTTTATTTTGCATTCCAAAATAGCTTGAAATGGAAAAAAAAGAGAAGACACAAGTGAAATCCCAAATAGGTGTTTTCCTAAACTAAGGAATATTTGCCAACTCATCTGGTCTTTCCCCATCAGACAGGGGTAATTGAACGGGTCAGGAGGTTTGGGTAGTTGGCCAACCCTAATTTGTTCTAGATTATAGAGTTAATAGCTCTATGACAACTGAATCGTCTTTTATAATATAAACAGATTAGACCATGCCCTTAAAATCAGAGTCTTTCATCCTTTCCATTTATCCTTTAGACATAGGTCACATCCTAGTCTATATCCTATGACCACCCTCAACTCTTCATCGGATAGCAAAAGACTAAGATTGGCACTAGGAAATGCTTCAAACCTTTCATGCCCAGAGTTTGTCCCAAGTATTTGAGGATTGGAGTGTCTTAATCCCAGTTTCTTAAAGTTAGCCAGAATAGGGTTAAGAAATTCTATATGTGCCGATGACTGTGGAAGATATAGACATAAATTTTTCCTTCATAAGTACAGTCAGTTTCAATTATCTATATCTAGCACTCACAATCACAACCTTACTTACAACCTCCTCGCACTGATGACGAGAATAAAGAAGCTGACAAAGTAACTAAATTAAGAAAAATGTTTTTAATTCCTTGTATAGACCTGCTTTCTCTTCGAATTTCTTGAAAAATTTAGTGACTATTCCAATTTATTCCTGTTATGGTCAGAATTCTTTTTGGGATAAGGTTTTAAATTTTGAGGAGTATATTCAGCAAGGGGTAGGCTTACTCTATTTTGCCTAAAAATTCATGACGTTGTTTCTAATATGAAGTCCAAATTCAATCTTGACCTTAACTTTTGGTACCTGACGACGGAACTCTCAGGTGCTAATTTGTTGGAAGCCATTGAAATGAATCTAAAGTGATAGGTCTTGTTTTAAATATGGATATAGTTTTTTTAAACGGATCTAAATATTTTTAATTATTTCTAGGTTATTGATCGGGAGTCAATTTCCTATTTAGGATCACCGATAAATGGTCTTATCCAGTGGTTCGGGTTCAGGTAAGGGGAATATTATTGAACCCGGATTTGATTTCGGGTTTAGGAATTTTTGATTTGATAAAAAAAAATCTATATTTAAATCAATTAAAAAACTAGACATAAGTATAAAAAATAAAATTCTTATTTTATTTATAGGCAAAATATATTTAAAAATACAAAGCATAGTCATGTATCAATTTTAAAAATTTTATTTAGACTTGTTAGCATACCTCAGAGTTGTTTGCTTATCCTCGATCTATGTAGTGAAAGAATGAATTTCAAATGTGAAAAAGATCTTTCAACGCTAATATTAAAATATTTAAATTCAAATAAAATTTTAGATAAAATATATAAATCAGAGTGCTGTAGCTTAGCAGACTCCCAAAAATGGAAATATTTTCCTTCTTATACAATCTTTTCAAATCGCCAAATTCAATCATTATCTTTCCAATACCTCTGCAATCGTTGGCCCTCTTTTAAGTATTTTCCCCTGTCTTTCCTTAACTTGTAAAATTCATCTAAATCTGTTCAATAACTTCATCCGAACTATTATCATATAAGATAAAATAGGCGGAGATATAGGTTTAATGCTACTCTATAAATTATTAAGATGCCTTTTCGCACAAATATATTCATCATCATGTAATATATACAATAATTAAGGATTTATACCGTTTATTTAAATAAATTTTAAATATTAAAAAATCTCATTAAATTATTAATATTAATATTTGTATTTACAATTTTACAAATAACAATATCCATTGAACCTGGGTTCAAAAAAATTCCCGTATTCTGTTCGGGGTTTTGGAAATTTTTTAAACGGAATTCAGGTTCAGAATTTTTTTTCAAAAACTCGGGTTTTTTCCGGTTCCGTTCGAATCCCTGGCCTTATTCCCATAATAGCAAGCTTAGAGAAAGTAAAAAAAATATGCCTTTAATCTCTTCCTCAGTTGTTGGCACAAAGAAACTTTCTTTACCCTCTTCTGGATGATAACCTTGAGAAATTGATAGGGACTAATCCCTCCTTTGAAGACACTCCAATCCTCAAAGACTTGGTACAAAACTCTGGTCATGAATGACTTGAAGCTGTCCCTAAGTGCCAATCTTAGTCTTGATATCAAGGAGCTGGAGGTGACCATAGGATATTAACTAGGCTGTTACTTATTTCTACTCCATAAATGTAAAGGGTGCGGGAACGACTCTGATCCTAAAAGTCTACATGGTCTAACCTGTTTATATTCTAGGAGCTACTTATCACGAACAAATTAGGGTTGACCAACTATCTAAATCTCCTGAAACCCGTTCACTTATCCCTGTCTGATGGGAAAAACTAGATAAGCTCTCAAACATTCCTTGGTTTAAAGGAAAACATCTTATTTGGGATTTAATTTGTGTCTCCCAATTTTCCTCTAACCCAAACGTTAATCCGATCATTACATCCGAAAGGTCAAAAATTAGAAAGTACCACGACTTTTCACTTTATTCCCATATTTATTTCCACCAATGGGTCCTTAGGCCCGTTAGTCTATCATTTTTTAAAAATATTTAGGTAAAATAGAAGAGTTGGAAAAGATATTTGAAATTTTAAAATATCTCTCATGGCACTATCCTGGGGGTGGAGGGACCGCTGTTTATATTTTTTACATCACATAGTGTTCCTTTTCAAATTTATTTTCTTTTAATTTATAGTGTCTTTTTTCAATACACCACAAATTATTAGATTGAAATACATATTAAAATATAGGATGTTTGAATAAAAAAGAAAATTCAATGTAGTTATTATAAAATATTACATAATATTATATAGTATAGGAGAGTATATTAAATAATAAAATTATATTTATATAAAAGTTGCTTTTTTATGTTTGTACAGGCCTTTTATTTAGCGCGACATTTAAAAGGAAAATCGAAAAACTGGCTCGCGATATATGTATTGACCCCATTAAAGTAATTCAGGGTGAGCACGTAGGACAGGCTAACGAGGACGTCCTTCAACAAATAAAAGTTTTCGTTGAGAATAGTGGAAAATGGCACTTTTTAAAACAGAATTTGGTTAAATATCTATCAAGTGTGTTTTATAATAAATATTTTATTTTATTTATAAAAATTGATAGAGATGCACTGGATACAATTTTTTTACCTGTTCCAGGACAGTATCCTATAAAATTTATTCATCTGTTCTGGTTCGGTATCAGTTCTTATAAAAAAATATTTATTTGTTATCTTATACATAGAATTTAATTCAATAATAATATATTTAAATTTATTAGTTATATCTTAACAGTAGAATAAATATAATTAATGGGCAGTATTCAATATTTTATTCATCTAGGTATGATTTCTTTTGGGTTGTAACTAGTTTATTAATTTCACTTATTTTAAACAAAATAATGTAAAAATATATTTTAAAAAAAAGTAAAAATTATGTTTAAAATACTGACCGGATCCAAAGACGGAACACCCGGGCCTGTACCGGATTTGGTTCGATTTTATACATCCAGAAATTAAATGTACACGTCCTTGCGTCGGACCAGTTTTGGCTCTCTGTCCTGATCTTATTTTTTTGTCTGCCATACCGATTATGAACTGAATCCATTCGGACGAGCCATACTCAAACCTGTCCGTGCAACCTCTAACCCAATATCAGTATAATTATAATTACTATTTTTGATTTTTACAGCTGGTTCAGTTCTTATATTTGTTACCAAGAAAATCAACGCTGAGGAACTCGCTTCTAATTTAGCAAAAAATGATTTTAAAGGTATTTATATTGCTAGGCTAGATATATTGAATTTTGAAAAAATTAACAATCTTCTTATTGATATTTTTTTATCTTTAAATAATTTTATTAGAGGATTTAATTTTTAATTATATCGAATAAATTTTTACAAGTTATTTGTAAGTATAAGTTATGTAACTGTAAATATGGCGTTAGGGTAGAAATTATAAAAAATGAAAAATAATCATAACATTGCTGTTGCATGTTTCTTATAGTAAAAATTTTGTTTTATTAGAAAGCATAATAATTTAATAGCATTCTAATTTATTTGTTTCTAAACTCACTAAAATTGAAGTGCTTCAATAAAACGATTTCATATTTATGATTAATGATTTATTTATTAAGATATGGGTACAAATCTCTGTTTCTTAGGTTGAGCATAGTTCTCCTTTTCAAAGGTTTTATTAATAGTCTAAAGAGAGATGTGAAATTTATTTCAATTAGTTTGGCTTTCATATCAAATCAATATTTTTTATGTAAACACTCAAATATTTTATTTCTTTAACGATTTTTTAAAATATTATAAATTTGAATAATATATCTTATTCATTTTCTACTTATAATATATATCTATGTCTTAAGCGGGTTTATTGCATGGGGACCTGTTGCAGATGGAGCGTAACCGCGTTATATTGGCTTTTAAAAAATGCGAAATGCGACTTTTGGTAGCAACCGACGTGGCCGCTCGTGGTTTGGACATCCCGCACGTCAGAACGGTCATTAACTATGACATTGCTAGGGACATTGATACACACACCCACAGGGTAGGACGCACAGGCCGGGCCGGTAATATATATTTAATTCCCTCTTCGTTTTCTCTTCATATTTACATTTAGAACACTGTTGACATTTTATAAGCCTCAACTCATTTTATGATTTAGTACCTTGATGTTCGTTTTAATTTTAAATGTGGAATGTGTTTGAATTAAATTTTCATTGATGATTGCTATTTGTCTTTTTGTAAAAGTCTATGATTTTTATAGATAGGGGAGACTGGGTTAGGTAGACCCCGGGGCTTGGCAAACCACTTAATCTCATTTTAAAATTAAATACACCAGAAGGTTAAAATTTTATCCTAATATAGTTTTTATTATTCACATCTATAGACAAAAAATCTTTTGAAATAATTATTAAAAATTTTATTTAAGAAATTAAATTTTGATGAAATTTTCAAAAGATTTTTACATGACAAAATTTTAATTTTTATTAAAATATATAATCATTTATATGTAAATTAAATTTTATAGCAAAGTTTAAACACTCTTCTATAATTTGGGTAAGTTTTATGAGTATTTATTATGTTTAGATATCATTTCAATCATGATTTGTCAATTTAGAGCTAGCGAGGCTTGCTAAGCCATACACGTAAATTATGGCAGTTAATAATGTTAAAAAATTTTAAATCTTAGAAAGGCAATTTCATGCTGTTTATGATTGGTAATTAGGATTTATGCCAAGAAGTCATAATTTCTCCTTAAGATTTTTTTTTTTTATATCCAATATGTTTATTAAATTAACTCAAATTAAGTTTCGATTTTTATATATAATTAGCTTCAATTTATTAATATTATGATATTTTGAACATTTCAACAATAAAATTATTCTATACGTATCATTATTAATAAATAAAAATGCATTTCTATTTATTATAGTCTAAAAAAATCAATGGTTTAGGTAGCCCCTTGAAGTGGTGTGCCCTACCCTGCTATTGGGCTTGTTGGACAAAATTTTCACCTTTACAAAAAATAAAATTTAAAAAAAATGATTATTTTCTTAAATTTTTTTATAATCCACCTTTATAGAGTATAGTTTTAGGTATCTAGTCATATATTATTTTTTATATTATCTATAAAAACCAGGAGCTATAGCCAATTTTGTAAAAATCGGTTCGACTAACCCCAGTCTCCCCTACTTTACTATTACCGTGGAAATTAGCCTTCTCAGTTAAATTAGTGATTTTAATTGATTTCCAACAACCATCTAAATCATACTTTTTGTAAAATGGTCTAAAAACGGCTCTTGACTTAAATCTTGCTTCGAGATTTTATAGTCTTAGTGAATATCAAAGACAGGATCATGTTGCAATTACCGGACTTAACCGAAGATTGTTTTAAAAATATGTGAGATTTTAGGTCCGCTTGGTATAGATCAAGGAACAATGATTCATTTTAATATAATTAATAAAGATTAACAATATGACCTAACAGACCGTTGTAAAAACCGATCTTGACTGTTTACTTTTATTATCTAGACGGGCTGAGCACGTTTTTGCCCCTCCCGACTAACGCTGCTGTTATATTATAATTCTTAACCCCATTTTAATTTCTTAGGATTTATTATGTTAAAAAGATTCACCAAATTACTGTTCTATTTAAATTTTTTAAATTACTTTGGATTCTTAACATTTTTTTGTCAAATGAGTGAACTTACGAATTTAATACTATTTTTTTTTAAATGATCTAATTGAGTTATTTTTATAAAAATATATTATAACAAGGGCTGAAGGGCTTAGCCATAACATTCATAACCAAAAGGGATAAAGAGTTTGCTGGTCATTTAGTTAGAAATCTAGAAGGCGCTAGTCAAATTGTTCCGCCGGAGTTGATGGAGTTGGCCCTTCAAGTAATATTACACTTCTTATTTTGAAGAGAAGAGTTAGCAAAAGGGTATTATTTTGTAATATTTATTTAATATAATACTTTTCATACAAATTTATAAGAGGGTTGAGAAATTTATTTGGGATGAGCCGCACATTTGAGAGAAAATTTTTATAGAGCGATATACACATAGGCGTATTGGGAGAGGGATTTTTTTGGGGGGTGGGGGGAGGTTTCATCTATTTTATTAAACCTTTCATAATTCAATAGTCATATCAAGATTTTTTATTAGCTTTTATTTAGTAATTTACCCTTATGGATATTTGAAAAGAAATAAAGTTTATAACCCAATTTATTTTAATTTTTGTAAATTATAAAGAATTTTTTTTTAGATATATAAGTTTAAGTATAATTTTTGTTATAAAATTTGCTTTAGAAACTAGCGTCAGCTTATAAAATTTTCATACAATGTATAATTTATTGAATATATTAATTGCAATAATTGACTAGAAAATAATTAAAAACAAATTTTATAAGGTCTTATCATGTATACAATTAATTAACTAATACAATATTATACGAAAAATTTATCAAATACTATTATAGTGTGATTTTTAATTTTCTTTGAATTTTATCGGCACGTGTCAAGATTTGATTAATGTCGTCATAAGATTTGTCTTTAAATTTAACGTTTAACTAAATATGATGAAAATATTGATCTACATTCATCCTATTTATTTCTTCGTATATATTTTCAGCTAAATCAATCACCTTAACCAATTCTAAATTTGGTTTTTGTACAGCAAAGATAAACTGTGACTGATCTATAGAATTTAATAATGAAATTGCATCTGAAGACACATTCTTGCAATTTAGTTATTTTATGTAAAACCTTTAATATTTCGTTCTTCAATTTGATCTAAAAATATCATTTATTTGTTTAATATTTTCGTGCCTTTTTTAACCTTTTTATTTCTATTTCTTCTTCTCTGGAAAATGGAAGTAAAAATAAACAATATTAAAAATATTCTAGATATATTAACAATTAAAAATTATTTTAAAAATTATTATTAGTTCCTAGCTTACTAACGATTTTGATTAGATTAAATAATCATAATAGATATGCGTTATTAAACACAGCTTTATTACAAAAAAAAAGTCAATAAATAGGTATAAATTTATAAATATGGAGCTTTAGCTATAACAAAATTTTAAAAACATATATTGCGACGCGTTGATAAAAAATATGCGATACGATATATAATATAATTATCTCTCTTTTAGCTTTATCTTAAATTAGGATTTAAAACTGAATAAACTGTAATAATGCTGCTTTAAAAACGCAACGCATGAAGATAACGCTGCGTTAAAAGCGCAACGCACGAAGATAACGCGTTTACTATAAATGCAGTGTAACTTAGAAAAATTATTATAAACACAAAACATTAACAGATAAAATATTAAACATGAAAATAGATTATGCAAACTTTGAAAATCTTACACGAATGTTGAGTTGCGTTTATTTTGAGATTTTACTATTTAAATATATTTAATATTTAATTGATATAATTTATTATTTTTGATTTATAAATTAAGACTAACACATTATTCTCTAAATGGGATTTTATATTGAAATACAATATTTATGAAAGTAAAATTTATGAAAATCTAATTTATCGATGTTCGGTTTCAGTGGCGTAGCTAGGAATTTTTCTTAGAGGGGGTCCATACATATAAAAATCGTCCGGCCTTTGGCCGGGTTTATCTTAAAAATCATAACCACATCTTCGACAATATATAATAAATATATTTTTAAAATGCATAAATAATATGTTATTCTTTATAATAATACTATCCAGAATAATTTCAATAGTAGTATAATATCCTTCCACAAACATCAAAACCAGAAAATTATAAATATTAATGGTATTTATTTGATATAAAGTCACTTTTAAGTCTTTTAAACGTATAATCTAAAAAAAAATTTGTTCTGGGAGGGGTCCAAACCCGAAAACCACCCCCGTAGCTACGCCACTGTTCGGTTTATAATTTATCTTGCGAAGCCAGGATGAATAGGCCAATTTTTTTTCTATATTTTATTTTAATCTAATAATTATATATTTTAAAATCATTATTTGTTTCTGTATATACATAGACTAATAATGATAGTTACATTTGTGCCTTTATTTTGTCAATTTTATAAAATGATATTTTTTTAGAGTGCCTGGTTTAAGAAAACTCGATTTGGTAAAAATGGGAAACCCACAAACAACGTCAAAAGAATAGGCGGAGCTGGTTTGGGTTATAAAGGAACTGACATGGTTCATTATTTTTTTTAAAATTTAAATATATTTATTTTTGCAAATTAAAAAAGATAAACATTGGCTCTAAACATCTAAGCGCTAACTTTCCTAGCGACCATCGTACTCACGTGGCAAATACGGCGAATAACATAGGGCCTGGTTCTGAAAGAGTGAACAATATCAAAGCTGCTTTTCAAGTTAAAAAAATATTTAATCATTTCTTGGCATAATTGATTATTTCGCATCCTTACATTTGATTGTGACTTCATAATATTATATTAATTCTTAGAAATATCATAATAAAAATTAGATTATATAAGGTTATGGCATAATATGCATTTCAGATTACATGGATTTTCAATCAAGTTCAAATCTTATATTCAATTTTTTTTTTAAATAAGGCCCAATATAAAAACCATTTCCAAGCGTCTAAACAAGATATTAAATGGAAATCACCCGCCACTGACAATCCTTTTCCCAATTTTATACAAGCGCCAAAGAATTCTCTCTCATATAATTCAAATAAAGCATCAACGCCATCTACAGGTGAAAAGAGAAAGAAATCAAGATGGGAATAATATTGAATAAATATATTTATTTACATTTTTTCATAGTTGGTTGTATTTATTGTATGTAATAGTTTTATTAATAATTAATTTTTTTATTCAAATATTTAGAATATTAATTTAAATAAAATTAAATTAAAATTTATTGCACATATAGAAAACACCGACCTTACATAAAATTAAATATTTTGACAATTGTAATTTTAACATCAAAAACATTTATAAAGATAATTGCAATTTTAACATAAAAAACACTTAATAAAGATAATTGCAATTTTTAAAATAATTTGAAAAATCGATTTTACATGCAAAAATTAACAATTTGTTCTTCTATACAAGTTTCGCATTCAAATTTGCAACACCATTTGAATTTACAATTGCAATTTTTATTAACTACCTTGATTATTTTTGTATAATGACCCCTTCCACAACATAGAAGATTGCAACTATTCAAAGAGTTGTTATCGTATAGGCAAGATCTATTTTGGGTTCCCATAATTCCTACACCATCATTTTTTTCACAAAAATCTGGCGATTCTTCGAGGTAAATCAAATCTCGTTTGCTCGGCGGAATTGGTATTGATGGAATACTCTTAACAGAACGAAATATTGTATAATGTTGGGGTATAACTCCATTTGACGGTCCTATTGACAATTTACTGAGTTGTTTTTTTGTTTCTTTGATCGTGAAATGATCTTGGAGGTAAAAATTAACAGCTCTGATATTTTGCCTTTTTAAACTGTTATATAAAAATCTTTGAGTGTCATCTGCCACTGTTTTGCCATAATAACGTTCCTTTTTTATTTTTATCGCACCTTCATACTTCTCCAATAAACCATCGCCAATTTTTCTATATTCGCTGAGTTTTTCCCAGCATACTTTGGAAGCGCATGAACCCGAAATTCCATGACATTTGCAAACTATGCTTAACGTTGTCATTAAAACCTAATATGAGCTTGGATTGATTATTCATTTTGTGATATATTTTTATACTTTTCGTCCTACTCTTTCATTGTGTATATTTATTAAGCCATCAAAATTTTTGCTATCCTCAAAAGAAGATAGAATATATTTATTTAACCTTTGTCCAAAATTAATATCATCTGAGCATCCACCCCATTGCCAAATTTCTTCACTTGACTCTCTTTCTTTGTCAACTTTAGATATAAATAAAAAAATTTCAAAAAAATATTTGAACAAGATTAAATTTACTTTTATTTGCCTTAGATTCGTTGGTACCAATGTTCCTTCTGTATATATTCAAATTTTCCGCGTAAATTTTTTTAACTTTAAGTCTTCTAACCAAGCCCGTTAATTCTGGATAAAATTTTAGATCATTCCTAGATTTCATATTCTTGGGAAATATAATTTTTTTTGTGGTCATACTTCTTAAATTTCCATTTTTCAAAAAAGGAATGATATTCTTGTGATGCAAACTTTCATTATTAAGAAATTTGTGTAGTGATCGATAATTATTTATCAGATTACTCTTGTGTTGTATGATTGAGTGTCTGTTATTCAGCATTACTTCAGGGTCCACATTTAGTAGTGATACTTTGTTACAACCACAAACGTTTGCTAGCAGATTTCCCTTGCGACAAGCTCGAATAATTTCGTAGGATAATCCACTCGACATAATTGCATATAAAAAAGCCCTTTCTTTTATATCTTAAAATTTGATTTTTATTCTATATGATTGTCCTGATTAAAAAATAAATCAACCCAAAATTTTTAACTAAACTTAAATAAAATACTATCTTAAATTTTTAAACAAGTGATTAGAACTAAACTCCCAAGTATTATCATACCTCAATATCAAGCGATTGGTAATCGAAAAAAATTTCGGAACATTTCAAACAATTATATATATATATCTAAATATGTTTTTTTTTCCTCTTTAGCTTTCACCTTTTCTGGTGGTAAGCTCCTTCAACATCTCTCTCCACTTTATGTTATTAATACAATCTCTTTTATCTAATTTATACTTCTTTATATTGGCTCCATTGAGTTTTGGCCTTCCTCTTTTACGTTTGCCCATCACTTCCAAACTCTTAACTTTATTTCCTATGTTGTTCATAGGCCTTCTCATTGTGTGCCCATACCACCTAAGTCTGTTTACCATTAACTTAGCCTTAATGGACACTACCTTTAAACTACTTAGTATTCTTGTACTGCTCACTTTATCCTTTCTTGTTACCCCAGCAATCATCCTCAGCATTCTCATCTGCATAGTTTGTAGACTTCTCTCGTCTGATTCTTTGGTTGGCCATGTTTCCGAACTATATAGAATAGTTGGTTGTATTATGGAACTGTAAATTTTTCCCTTTGGGATTCTTTTGTCATTTGCAAATATCATATTCCACGGGACTGTTTGAGGTATAGACTGCTAATACATCTATTAGAGAAGTGGGCTGAGAGCCGACACTTGATGTATTGTGAAGCCTGCTGAAGTACCTGTTGTGCTACGGACCATTGTTTTATGGCCCATATACATATCCTGTATTATTCTTATATATTTTTCGGGAACCTTTTTGTGGCGTAGCGCCCACCAGATAGGTTTTCTTGGGGAGAAAGACCATGTGTAGCTTTTAGTTCTTTTCCCTGTATTTTTCACTCATTTGCCTAATTGCGTGGATAGCATCGGTTGTTGATCTTCCAGGCATAAAGCCAAACTGAGTCTCTCCTATTTCGATTATATCTCTTAATCTTTTTTCTATTATTTTTTCGTATAGTTTTAGAATTAGTTTTATGCCCCTGTAATTTTGACAATTATGTGGATCCCCTTTATTTTTGAAGATAGGAACTAGATAGCTCTGCCTCCATTTTTGGGGAACCTCTTCATTTCCAAGTATTTATTGTATAGAGATGTATTCCATCATCTCCTAGTGCTTTAAGGCTTTCTATTGGAATATCGTCTGGACCCCTAGCTTGTTGTTTTTCATATGCTTGAGGCATGTGATTATTTCTGTTATAGGTTGAACAAGGTTTTGACATGGGGAGTGTTCGTCTAGATGCAGTATGTGCGGATTAAAGTTGAGAAGCTCCTGAAAATATTCTCTCCATCTACTCATTATTTCTTTTTCATTATTATCAATTTCCCATCTTTATTTTTGATTACTTTCGGAGCTCCGTTTATATCCCTAGATTCTAGCTGTTTGGCTAATCTGTATTTATTTTGCCCTTCTTTGGTATGTAGATCTTCGTACATGTTAACGTATGCCATAGATTTGGCTCCATAGTTCTTTGTATGATTTGTTGCCCTCTTGTCAAGCCTAGTGTCGATTTGGCAGTGTCTATTAAATCTTCTCCTCGGATGACTTTGCAGTCTATTACATCTTTTAATCTTCTGTGAGAGATTAGTATGTAATCTATCTGTGTTTTCCTTGTACCACTTTCGTATGTTATTAAATGACTATCCTTTTTCCTATAGTAGGTGTTGGTTAAGGCAAGGTCGAAGGCTTGCGCAAATTTCAGTATATGCTCTCCTTCATCATTTCTTTCTCCATATCCAAAACCACCATGATGCCTTTTGTAGCTATCTCTTGCTTTCCCCACATGCGCAATTAAGTCACGGTCATCCTTAGGGATTTCCATTACAGCTTCATCGAGGAAAGCTTTAAAATCTTTCCCTTGCAACCCGTTTGAGGAGCATATAATGAAAGGATGTGTAGTATTGATTGACCAATGCAGAGTTTTATCTTCATTAGTCTATCAGAGATCCTGTTGACTTCTACAAATGAGGATTTCATTATAGTACAATTTATACCCGTCTCCAATCATCAAAGTCTTCTGTCCTTTCCATTTCGTCTCTTGTATGCACGCTATGTCAACCTTTGTCTTGTTCAACATTGATGTCAATTCTCTCGTCTTACCTTTAAGCGTCCCAATATTCAAACTTGCTAATCTTGTTTTCTTTGCTTTGACCTTTACTTTACTTTTCACAAGATGGAGGTCTACACCCTGCGCGTTGCTTGAAGGGAACGCCCTATCTTATTCATATTTCCATTTGTTTTCTTCATTTTTCTTTATTGGACAGGTATCCTTAGCACCCGGCTGTCCAGGCCTGTCGGTGACCGGGGTGTCATCTCTAAGCTCCGAAATTCATCATACCATATGTCTTTACACATCAGTCATCGAAGAAAAACTTGAAAGTTGTTTCCAAGCGTACATCTTACCCATTAGGCCACCCCGGCGATATCTAAATATGTATCAGTTTGTTATATATTAACTATTCCTATAAATTTTATAGGAGAGCGAATTTAAAAAACACCATTGATAAGTTGATATGTGCATTTATTATCAAGGGTTTACATGAACAGTCTGAATTTTAAAAGATGAAAAGTTATATAATTTACGTATAGATAAATATTGTTATGATATTCTTAGTAATGTTGGATCATTTAAAATTTCTTCAAGGAGGCCTTTGCAGAGAAGAATAGAGGAAATTTTTCAGCTCACTGGTCAATATATATATTTTATTTATTTTTAAAGATTACACGAGAAACTCTTGAAAGGCAATCAAGATATTGTCATGTAGAAGAATAAAATTGTATAGTTAATGGAAATGGTCTATAGAGAATGGGATTTCTGATAAACTAATTGCTACTGTTTTGGATAATACATCCAATTTTGTCAAGTCATTTATTGAATATGGTGTAAAATTAAATGATTTAAACGGATATTGTTTATATTGAGGAATAATTGCATTAAACAAACTACAAGGGCAATGTAGTACATCTTATGTAGAATAATTGTCCATACTATTTATGTCTAAAAGGAATTATGTATATTTAAAAATTTAAGTTTGCAATATTATCTAGCCTTATTAAAAGCTGTTCAAGATGGTATGGGCAAAAGTTTTAAGAAATTTTTTTCCTATGATGATGAAAATAATGAGGGTTTTTTGGCATCATCATTCATATTTTAGGAACTAATAGATTGAGTCAGATGATAAAAAATATTACCAAAAGAATCCCTAAATGTAGACCAGTAAAATATAATCAAGTTGAAACGATAACACTAATGATTTAACGATGATTTTTTT